ACACCTGTAAAAGAGAACAATAATAGTACCTACGGTACGTTATAGAGATGATGGGCAGGTGAAGTGAATGATGTATGTAAAGCACTTAAGATAACAAGAAAACCAGGTACCAAGTCAACTGTGACTCATGAGGATCTCATGCATGTCAGAGTAGAACTATTCTCCACAAGGTGGTCAGTGGCTAAATTTTTAGAACTAGATCAATAGACCTAAAACCTCCATGCTTCTGGTCAACAACTGAGTGTGTTAATTGTTTGCACCATCCAGGGCCTACACAATGATTGGCAAAAAGCTAATGTTTGCTGAATACTCTAATCATACTAAACTAATGTATATAATGAGTGTGTGCCTTGTCTCAAGAAAACAAACTCACTGTCATTGAGTCAATGCTGACTCATAGCGAGCCCCTGTGGGTTTCTGAGACTGTAACTGTTTAAGGGAGTAGAAAGCCTAGTCTTCCCCTTGGGGCGCTGCTAGTGGTTTCGAACTGCCGACTATGCAGATCGCAGCCTAAGTAATGAATGATAAGGATGATGATGAGGATAATAGTGATGATGAAGATATATCTACTATAAAGACAGAGAAACAGGTCAATTAGTTGTTGGATTGTGATTCATGGCTTCCAACTGCTTAGCTACTAGTAGAGAAGACTGGGACATCCACCATCAATGAATCCTCTGGAATGAGGAGAATACTAAGCTGCTTGTATTTATGTCCTACAAGATAGCAGTATCCCTGCTAAGCATGTCCTCAATCTCCAGGGTCTTACCCAAGCTACCCTGAGCAGAATAGATATGGTGATAAAGGAGAAGTTAGTTTTCTGGACAAAATGATGTCCTCCCAAAGTTGATGCATCTTTAAAGTGATAAAAAAAAGATGACCTATCCTAGAGCTCCAATCAGCAAGACACTGAGGGCTCGGCTGAATTAGCTTCTCCCGAGGCCTACACGTCACCTTACACCCCTCGGTGGGGGATTTTCTACACTCCCCCTGCTTCATCCTCCTAGTAACCAACTCTGCTGCTTATTTCCACTGATTTTGAACCACTGTTTGGCAAATTCTTGGTTCACCAGGCTGGCATACTAATAAAATAGTGGTGGTTCAAAAAAGTATTCTTAAAATCCATCTTCAATTCATATTTGTGGGAGAGATTGAACAGTAGATAGGAAGATAAAAGAATAAAATCACAGCCTAGGTCTCTACTGCCCCAGCAAATCAATATTATCTCCAAATTTGCATGCTCCCCTCAGCAAATCAAAAACTTTGTAGGTAAGTGCACCCATTCTCATTAGAAGGCAAGATTGAAAAAACATCAGTTTTTTTCTGGCCATACTATTCAGATAAAGGGAACTCAACCACCTATCCAGAATAACTTAGCATGTTTTCCTACTTCACTACTCTTGAGAAGATTTCTGAGAACATAGTTTTCTCTTGTTCCATTACTAGGACATAAAGGATCCCCTGGGTGGTGTAGTGGTTACGTGTTGGGCAGATGCAAACTGCCAGTGACTCTGCAGGAGAAAGACAAAGCTTTTCTACTCCTGTGAAGAGTTACACAGGTAGAAACTCACAGGGGCCAGTTCTACCCTATCCTACAGGGTTGCTAGGAGTGGGCAAACCCAGAGGGATCATTCTACTCAGAAAGCTGCTAGGCGACTGAATCTGCTCAATAGCAGTGATTTCTTTGGAGGTGATTCTAAATATGGATGGATTTTTGGATTTACACTTAATTCTAGTCCCAATCTATAAACAATTAGTTCCCCAAACATGGCTCTACTTGATGCTAGCCCTCATGAAGAGATCACTGAAAATATGGGTGCTATAACAAAATGTAGTGAAGAAACCAGATGATTCCGGCTGTCAGAAAAAAATAGCATCTGGGTTCTTTACGACTTGTCTTAAAACAAACAGCCATCTAAGTGAGGAATCAACCAAGCCTGCATGGAAAAAAAAAAAACCAGCTCGTGTGATGCCAGAATTGTAATTAATAAAATCCAGGTGTGGAGGAAAGAATGGGTTCAGAGCTTAAATGATGAACACTCAGTTTGCAGAAGGCTATGGATAAGAGTGGAACATCAGAATCCATTTGTAGGGTCCCCACATGGATTAAACCTCCAGTGAATCCCCTCTGACCATAGGCCAGGGATGTGAATACCCTTACTATCAGAGAGCACTGTAAAGTCGACGATGGCAGATGCAATTAGGTTAAAATGTAACACCTTATAGATTGATCTCCCTCTTAACTCATGTTAAATTTGTTTGTCTTTAACATTCTTAGGTTTTTTCTTCATTGACAATTTTCCATGTTTTGTTTTACTTTGTTATTGTTTTTGGTTTGTTTCAGTTTTGCATGAGTTCTGTAGATGAAATCTAGGCTAAGTAAACCTATAGAGATAGAACTGGATCAATAATCTCCTAGGGGTATGCCCAGCAGAGGAGGTTGGGGGAAAGGAGGAGTGAGTACAAAAGCAAAAGTTCTGAAATTGATTGTGGTGATGTTTGTACAAATGTTTTTAATATGATTGAACTTAATACTGAATTACATGATATGTAAATTATATATCAATAAAACTATTTTTAATGGCAGAACAAACACAAATGCATATAGGAAAAGATTGAGGATGGTAGACTGAAAGGATTTGTGATTCTCTATGGCAGTAGCAGCAGAGGGTTCTCTCAACCGCCACATTCATGTGTCCCATGACCCATCTCAAGTGGATAATACCTTTCAGTGCTTTGAGTAGGACTCAGGAGATTCCTATGCCCATGAGTTCTCTTACGATATTCCAGCAAATATTGCTCCCTTCTCCATCACTCCACTACAAGCTCAGACCTGAGCAAAGCTGTACTTTCTAGTTGTTTTCAAGGAAAGGGAAGGGGAAGAAGTCATTGGAATCTCCACTTACTTCAGAGACCAGGGAAAAGTTAGACAGTTGCATAAAGATTTCACCTATCAGTGAAGATAACATCATCTAGAAAGGTTGGGAAGTTGGGGGCAACTAGTGTCATTTAAGCTAATGAACAATGCTGCTGTCCAGGAAAATGTATTCAGGCAGAAAATTCTACTATGTATCTCTCAGCGAAGAATTTCATGGAAATCCAGCAACATCACTCACTCACAAATAGGATAACATTATGCCACCTTAAAGAATGATTTTACATGAGGCTAATCCTTATGTCATTTGCCATCAGGGGTCATATCCTCACTCATTCTTCAGTTTTGTCATAAATAGAAACCAAAATAGTATCACTTAGCTTCTTAGAAGGAAGAAATAAGAATTTACACACTAATAATTAGATGATTTCACACATGATAATCCTTCCAACCATCCTATAAGAACTTAACATTTTTAAAGAGTTGAATATGACGCTTATTTACAAGTCTAAGATAGTATAGCAAGTCATGTGGTTCTTACAACCATCTGTTGGCCTATTCCCACTCACTGCCACTGCATAGACACACAAATCCCTTCAGGCTTCACAAAGAAGGAGAATGAAGGGAGATATGGTAGATAATTTGAGTAGTCCATAGTATACCTGGATATAGAAACAACATTCAAGATTTTTCAATGACCAAGTCTAATATATCAGCCATTCCTTTTTGTTGTTTCTTTCCTTGCTTGTGTATTCATAGCAAAGGTAAAAAAATACCTAACCTGTAAAGAGGTAGTTTTCTCATTCTCAAATTTTAGTTGAAACAAACCAACAAAGCAACAGCAGATATTTCTTTTAAAAAATGATACTCATTTGGTCACAGTCTAGATAAGAAAGGAGAAATTGAGTGAATCCAACCTTAAAAGTAATGCAATAGATGGGGACCTCTACTTTAATCTTACCTCAGGACAAGAACAGTTTGTTCTAATAATGTGGCAATGTATGATACTAACCTTCCCGACATGATCACTAGAGACAAAATGGGTGCATAAGCAAATGTAGTAAAGCAAGTTGATGGTGCCCGGCTATTAAGATATAGCATCTGGGGTCTTAAAGGCTTGTGGTCAAACAAGGGGCTATTTAGCAGGGAAGCTACAAGGCCAACATGGAAGAAACACACCAGCCTGTGTGACCATTAAGTGTCAACAGGAATAGGTACCAAAATTTCAAAACCAAGTAATCAAATTGATGTGAAGAATTGTAGACAAAGTGGAAACCAAAAATCTACCTGTAAGATAAGTGGACAGTCCCTCACAGAAGGGCCACATGGAAGGGATTCAGGGTGTAGTATAGCACTGGTGAAACACATAACTATCCTCTAGTTCTTCAATATTTTCTCCCCTTACTCTTAAGGTTTTGCCTCATTAATCTTGTTAGACTTATGTATGTTCATTTGTATAATTAAAACCATTCAATACATGAGATCCAAGATAGATAAAACCTTCAGAAATCATAATGGGAGTAATGATTTCCTGAGGGTATGGGAAGAGGTGTGGGGGGAGGTGGGAGAATGGGGAATTGATAGCAATGATGACTGTATAACCCCACTCAACGGCAACAGAATTATAGGGGAACAGATACATTGGATGGTGTAAGATATGGCAATAATAATAACAACAATATATAATATAATAAAAGTTCCTGGGGTGGGGGAGGAACAGAAAAAAGGAAATCCTAACACTCAGAGAGAACATATAATAATTCTGTGCCCACTAATCTTACTTTTATTATTCTTACACACGCTCTCCCAAGCAATGTAGTTGTGGAGGAAGCACTGAAGGCAATGGGAATTATAAGGAGACTAAAATCCTGAGGGAAGGGGATCTTCTCTGGTCAGAAAGAGGTCCTACAAGGGTGTGGCCAAGTCACATTTATTTTTTTCTCTCTCTCTCTGTCATCCCCCTGTAATTCAAAGCAGAAGGACCTAAACCCCAGCCTCCTGGCCAGAGAAACAAAAGGGAGAGTGCTAGTGAACCTGAAAATCTGGGGAGATACAGAGAAAGAAAATTTTAGAAAGTCCGACTTAAATTGTTTATGACATCTCGATTTTACTCTGAGACTAGAACTAACCCACATAGCATATACTCACTTTGATAACTACAATACAAATCATTGCTGAAGTCTGAAGTTGCTCTCAGACAGATCCAAGTAGTATTACCACAACCTTGAGGACTCGGCTGACATTGGGGGCACAACTACAGAAACCTGTGGCCTAAAATAAATCACAGAAACTGTATGCAAAAACAAAATCTCCAACATGCTGCATAAGACTGAAACAGTAACCAGAGTTTCATAATAAAATAACTCAATTAATTCTACTTGATAGTAGAAAAAATTACTTTAAATATGAAGATCCAGGAAAATCTCAACTTATATGGGTAATGACAATCAGCACATAGCAATGCTTAGATGTTACAGATGTTGAAATTATCTGACAAAGACATTCAAGAAGCTATGATAAAAATTCTCCAACAACTAAGGATAAACCCTGTGATGGAGTTCATGAAAATCAGATGTTTAGCATAAGGAAAAGCTTCAGACAAAGATGCAGATCAGAGTCCATTTGTACCTTTTTCTCTGTTTACTGCTTAGTCTGAGCTAATCTTCGAAAGTCAGCTAGCCAGAAAACCTGCAGGCTCCCTTCTACCCCATCCTCTCATAGTGAGCTCTCAGGAAGAGTGTTACCGTATATACTCCAGTATAAGCCACGTTTTTCAGCCCACTTGTTATGCAATTTTTGTGGTAAAATTTAGTACCTCAGCTGATATTTGGGTAAACTTATACTCGGATATATACGGTAATTCAGGATGACTCTTGAAATATACAAAGATGAAGTTGTTAAAGCATAGATTGATAAATATTAACCAATCAGATTTTTTTCCTTATAAGTTTTTGAATCCTATGTATTCAAGCTCTTTTAAAAATTCCTTTCACAGTTAAGCTTTGGTGAATCCTCAAAAAGTGCTGCCTACAGAGGCAGTGAATTATTTACAGTGATTCTTGCAGCCAGTCTCTAACTCCCACCTAACGACCTTTCCCTTCATGGGTCTGGTAAGAAGGTGGGAGAGTTACAGATAGGATTCTCCTGTGAGCGATTGTAAATTAGGATTCCCAGGAATGCCATCCTGATGTGTATTAAATGATTCCTCTGAGAGTCAGGAGGAGGTGATCTCATTACCAGCAAGAGCCAGGAGTGGAGCGTGTCCTCTGAACCTGAGATCCCTGCACAGTGAGCCCCCTGGATCCTGATGTCAGCTGTACCATGAGAGAAGCAGCAGCAGTACCGAGACTCAGAGCATGGAAAAGAGGGATGGACTTCCAACCTGCGGAGCAAGTTCAAATGAGTGCTTTTGTGCAGGAGGCTGGGCTGGCTTACAGAGTGGGCTGCCTCTGGACACGTAATAAGGGAAGTTGGATTTGCTGACCAGTGGAAGTGGAGCTGAGTGCCTATGGGCTGAAGTTTATTGGAGTGGGGTCCCTCTGGGCTCTTGATTCGGGAGCAGGCTTGCTGACCCATAGAGCTTTTTTGAATTGAGGCTTACAGCAGAGGGGCATGCCCTTTGGGGCACTTATTAGCAGACCTGAAATTGTGTAACCTGTCTGGTAAACAACAGCCCTGAGCATTTCTCACTGGCATTATAATTTATTAACTTCCTTCATAAACCTTTTAATGGTGAAGTTTGTGATTTTCTATGTATCAATTGCAATGGATATTAGGAACCCAAGAAGTACAATCATTTACTGCCATGAAGTCTGTGCCAACTCATAGTGGCCCTATAGGACAGGGTATAATTAACTGGCCTCATGAGTTTTCAAGACTTACTTTTAATGGGAGTAAAAAAATCTTCATTTTTCTCTCAAGGAGCAGTTGGTTTCAAACTGAAGATCTTATGGTTAGCAACCCACCATGTAACCACTACACCACCAGAGCTCTTAAAGAAGTAAAACAGAGAACACTAATTGAGGCATCTTACTGCTCAACCTGGATTATTCTGTTCCTTCAATTTAGTGCCTTATCAGTTGATCTTCTTTTTGAACCATTTAAATTTGTTCTATTTTTTAATATTTTCTGATTTCTTTTCATTTAAGGTTTTTATTTGTTTTATTTTGTTCATCTTTAATTTTAGCAGGAGTTCCAGTTTGCTCTTTGACAATACCCTTATGAAGAATTGAAAGATAGGAGGCCTCAATAAGGAAATAGGAAATTTAAAAAATCAAGGGCAAATTCTAGAATCGAAAATTATAATAACTAAAATAAAACACTCATTGGATAACCTCAGTAGCAGAATGAAAACGACAGAGGATTTTGATGGGACTTGGATGAAACTGCACAAGTTTCACCAGAGACAATACTTTGGTGACCACAAAGCTCACTGAACCTCAACAGAAGAAACTCAAAGGAATTATGCCCATTACATGGTAGTCACATCAGACAACTAAAACTAAAAAGCAAGACTATGGGGGCAAGACTAAAGTGAAAAAATGTTTTTAAAGGACTAAAATCAAGTAATTCAGAAGTCTGCACAAGTATAAGCACATGAACGCGTTCACACACATACACACACCTTTCAAGAATAAAGATGAAATAAAGGGATTCTCCAGTGAAGAAAAAAGAAGTGTTTATAGCCAGCTCACTTGCTCCCAGAGGATAACTGCTAAAAGAAGTTCCTCATAGAGAATAGAAATGACAATCTCTAGAGGAAAGCTAGAACACAGATCTCTAAGTGATCTCTAGAGGAAAGGTGGAA